TTTGAATGCCTCCAGAAGCAATAAGACAGATGAAGAAGGACTAGGTCCTAAGAGGACCAAGGCAAAACGCAATCCTAAATTTCACTAGCATTTGGAACAAATAAAACCAATTGTTTCCTAGTAGAGATTTTAAAGTATTCCTCACTCAAAAGCTTTAAGTTATGCCTTAAAACAGCTTTTTCCAAGGCTATGGTGGCAGTCTGTCTCAAATAAAAATAAACCACTCTAAAATTTGAAAATTTTTTGGCATAGTCGTTAGAATGTCTGAATAGTGTATATACTTTTTTCTATTTACTGGTAACGTAATTGGAGTGATTGTTCCAATAGACAGCGTCTGTATGTCCCTAACAGAATTCTGTGCATGACTAGAATCCTAGAGAAGATTTATTTCACTTTATTGGGGTTGGGGTAGGTGCCAGAAAATTGAAATATGTTTAGGTCAGAGAAATGAAGTAATTTCAAACGAAGGGTGAACTAAAAAGAACCAAACAAAGGATCTTTCTTTCACTTTTTTTATTAAAAATAAAAAACATAATTAAATTTAAACTGGCAATGTTTATGGTGCAGTGACTACAAAATTTAGCCCAATGGCTAAAGCAGTGCGTAGAGTCTTTATAAAGCCCATCATCACACAAATCCTGCATTAAGGATAAAAGTAGCTTGAAGTCCCATTTTTAGATCTTTGCCTAGGGCATATTTCACACAAAACCATATAGTTTTCTGTAAAAGCTCACTGATTACTGAATAGTTTTGCTTAGAAACTGCACCTTTACCCTTGAAGTGCAGAGGCAAAGCTTTTAACACACTGCTAAATGTTCTCTGCACTTTGTATGGTGCTGCAAAGATGAGGAAAGTAAAGGTTTGGACTTTTACAATAGGCTGGGTGACCAGAGTTGCAATTTGCATTTGCAAATCCTTCTGATTTTTCCTGGTAAATGAAGTCCGCCTGCTTGGTGAAGCCTGGGAGAGGGAGAGCAGAGCAGAGGTGCAGCAGCTGAATTCTACCAGGTGCAAACTGCCCTTTGGGGAGAGACGCAGCAGGGAGGACCCTGTGCTGCGCAGAGCTGTCAGCAGAAGCTCATGGAAAACAGGCAAGCCTGGTAATAGCAGTGTGAGATGGACAAGAAATGGATGACAAGTTATATGAATTCCTGCAAGAGATCCGTGTAAAATTTGTTGCTACATATGCGGTGTTCACAGCTGTATTTTGAATAAGGGGATTGTAATTCCTTAGTTTTCCTAGGATGAGAACTTAGTTCTTATCATTGTAATGCCATCTGAAATACATCCCTTCTATGTACCTTCGCCTTCAGCTTGAAGCAGATAAACGCTTTTCACAAAGTTCATCTTGTTGCTTTTTATGCATTCTTCAACTCCTAATTTTGTGTCTGAAAAGCTAAAACTTTTGCATGGACGTTGATTAATGGAAGTTACAGTGTTGCACTGTGACGTACAACCTGATCTTTTTCACTTTCCAAAATGTCTGATCAACAGACATCCCAGCAGGGATGAGAGCAAATTCTGATGGGATTATATGCAAAAAAAGCGCATGCAATTCTTGGCCTTGGCTCATCCTCTTCAAGGAGGAGAGGAAAGTACTGGGCCTGCAGCTGGCTGCTCTGACAGATGTGTGACAACAGCTTCTTCTTCCAAAGGCCCTGAGAGAACCTGGACTAAAAAATGCCCAAGCATGTTTTTGAAGGAAACGCTTTCTCTGAGCCCGTCATTTTAATGATTTACTTAGCCTTCGTGTAACTAGAAATTTAGAGAACATGCAGTCTGTCTGCTTACGGAGGAAGTTGTCAGTCATTCCCCATCTGAAATGAAGCCGCTCTGGCAGTTAACTACAGGCGCTGCTACAGTCCGAGTTGGGGCAGCAGTTCACACACCAGTTTTTGCTGTCCTTCGCTCTGTGTCTGTAAAGCCACTTTAAATTCACTGTTAGGAGACTGTCAAACTTGGGGCGCAGGTCTCAGGAATATCCCGCAGCAGTGAGTTCCAAGGCTTTAGATTATTCTGCTTGTCCATTTGGACGGAGGCCTCTTTTTTCTTATCGATGACACGGGGTGAATGGTTCCCGATCTACGTTTTCTCAGCACTGTTTGTTATTTTGTATACTTTGATCGTGCTTGTTCTTACTCACTTTTGTCAGGTAGATGTTCCCATTCCTTTCAATCTTTTCATCCTTCTTACTGCACATCTTTCTGATGTATCTTTATTATGTTTCCTAGCTCATTTCTAACCAGAAATAAGCAAAGTATTCCAGATGAGGTCAAATCATTGATGTACATGACAGGTAAAATCCCAGCCCTATTGCTGGGAATTCACTAATATCTAAGGGGTGAAATTTCTTCCAGTGTAACTGTAACGTTTCCCGTGTTTCTCTTCCTCCCATTTTTCACGTATTCAACTTCAAAATTCGGCAGCTAAGAATTTAATCCAGAGTCCTACTGACGCAGCATCCTCCATTAAGTTGCTGTCAGTCCTCTGATTAGCAGTGTAAGTTTGTGAGCGGGAGTAGCTCCCTCCCCAAAGTACTTCAATGAAAGGGGTGAAATTTTCTCCTGATTCACATTTGCTATGGAACCATACTTGCTATTCATTTTGGGTGACTGGAACCAAGGGCATCAGCCCCGACTTTGAACAATACTGTGTTCACAGTGACCTTTAGTTAGAAAGTCTGCAAAAATGCATTGTATAGCACATGAAAACAACACACACACACACACACACAAACAAAAAAACCCATTTCATTAAATGACTTTGTCCATAATTTACTATGAATGTGAGGGAAAGCAGTCAGAGAAGCTTTTATAGCATCTGCAAAAGAAATCCGTTAGCTCCTCTTTCTTCCCCAGAATCATCTAAGAAATGTTCAGATTGTTGCTGGCTAATAAATACAGTAAATGAAATGTTAATAAATCACCAGCAATTTAGCCTGACAATAACATGGATTGACCGCATTGATTAAATTGATTATGTTTCATATATTTACAATATGTAGACACAAGCCCAATTTATTTTCTGAAGAGTTCAAGGTAGGTATCATTGGTTTAGGGAAAAAAAAAAAAAGAAAAAAAAAAGCCAAACAAAACAATGGAGTAATGTTTGTGGTTGCTATCTGCAATAATCTAATGCTGACAGAGAGCAGTATTTTATTTAGTAATTAACAGTGTAAAGGGGAGAGAAGCTGTCATGTTGGTTCTTAAGCTGGGGAATGTGATGAAAGATGATATCTGCGATCTCATCCTTTCCACTTGTTTAGGATTGTCAGGATGAGAAATGTCAGCATTATGAAAGCTCAGCTCTGCTCTTGATATGATAAAACCCTTCAAAAGCCAGTCTTTCTCTCCCTCTCCCCCCTCCTTTCTCCCTCTCCCTGCACTTGCTTTTTTATTTATCCTGTTTTGTTAGATGGCAGAAATATAATTCTTTTCTTTCTTCCTATTATAAGCCACCATTTTTGTTTTATTATATGTTTCACAACCCCTAATGCCCCACTGAAAATTACCTTGTTAAATGACAGTGTTTCAAAGCCATGAATCCTTTCCACCATTCCCTCAGAGGTTTGAAACAGTCAACAGACTGTAAAGAATAAATAATAAAAAAGTATTGATTATTTTGATGACTGTGAGATTCAATTAAGTATTAATTTTGCCCTCCAGTGGACCTATCAAGGTATTCAAAAGGGAGGATTCGGCTCAGCTAAATGTGTGCTGAGTGCTTCAGCCTTAAATAGGGAGAAAATGTGTTTACCTACAGTATTTGAAGAGGAGTGCATTGATGCACAGAGTCCAATATTTAAGTGCTGTGCAAATTAAGCCCTGGTGACAGTGACATTGTTTTCAGCGATATGAGTATTGACTAAAGAAGTGCATTTGATGACAGCTTAAACTATTTGTATTGATTAACATTTTCATAGATTATCATGTGTCATATCAAATTCACTTTTCAGACATGAATACATTAAAAAACCCATAGGCAAACATCGACCAATGTGATGACGGGACAGAGGGAACATGCTAACCAACCTACTTGCTCGCTGGTCACCTGTTCTCTGCATAAGAACCATTTAGGCATGAACTTTGCAATAAATAGCTGCCAGGGAGCGCAACAAGGTCACTTGTTCCTTTCTTTTTTTTCAGTTTTTTGACTCTGGTTTCCCTGCTGTCATGGTATTATACCTGTTAGTTTGCAAACGGGATAATAGAGTGTGCTCGGAAATAATGCCTGACCCCAAATGTCCTCAGTGAGCAGAAGATAAAACAGATCCAATTCGTCAGGAAACAATTTAAATACGTAGATGTAAGGTTTTACGGGGCTGTAAGGTCCCAAGCACGACAATAATTGCAAACTGTTTGTGTAAGTATCTCCCCTCATTTTATCTTAAAAAAAAAAAAAAAAAAAAAAAAAGTTGATGTGTTTTTAATTTTAAAAGCAAAAATACATGTGTGTGTGTGTGTGTGCTTACAGACTTCTGAGGCATAGCATCCCAGAGGCGAGAACCGTTGGAAGAAATCTGTGTCTCTGTTGAGTGTGCGTGCTGAAATGGCTATTTGTTGCTGTGTATTTTTGTAGAAACACTGGCGGAGAGATGTGTGTGTGTGTGTTTGAATTTGTTAATGTTGCACGGAGGAGGATGCTTCTTTAAATCACCGGGGAGTGCTGGCAGGGCGCTCCTCTTCGGTGCCGTTGGAGCATACAGGAATTTCGTTTCTTACTACGTTAAGGACAGAGCGAGGTGTAAAAACATACACACACAAAAAGCACATCCCACAATTAAAGCTGTGTTGGTTATGTTGCTTTCATAGAAGTTTTTCTCCAAAGCATCCTGAATCTCTCACATGCTAGTTGAGCTTTAATAGGGTGGGGAGTAATGGAAAACTCATTGGATCTGTAATAGCTCTTCACTTGACTGCAGCCAGCAATAACAGCAGGAGCAGCCAGAGATAAGAGAGAGAGAGAGAGAGTGTATGTGTGTGTGTGAGGGAGAGGGAGTGGAAGAGAGACTATACGCACACCAAAGCTGCCACTTTTTTTTTTCCCTCACTCTTTTTTTCCCCCATCCTAGGATCCAATGATAGCTGGACAAGTCAGTAAGCCCTTGCTGTCACTGCGGAGTGAAATGAATGCGGAGTTGAGAGGTGAGGACAAGGCAGCTACTTCAGACAACGAGCTGAATGAGCCCCTGCTTGCGCCTGTGGAATCAAATGACAGCGAGGACACTCCCAGCAAGCTCTTCGGTAAGTCTGTCTAGGTATTTCATTTCACTGCTACCATGTTGTCCGGAACAGCAATCTCCCCCCCGTTCTTTTTTTTATTTTTTTATTTTTTTTGTTCACTCAGTTCTCTCATAAGTACCAAGGAATAGCTCGGAGCATGCAGGCACTCAGCCCTCTGCTCCCATTGCGCCTGGCTACCGCGAGTGACAGTGTCACGTCCTGAAAACTTTTGTCAACAATGAACTTATTTTATGCAAGCTGCGCTCGTTTTATGTTCTTATTTGCCTCCGAGGTCTCTGATGTGAAAAATGGAAGGGGAATCCTTTTTCTTGGAGTATTTCGTTAACATTTATGATGTTAAGTGCTGATGTGAGTGCATGACATGCTATCAGTCCTTTCTGTGGCTGGGCTAAACTGAGGAGCTACCATTTTAAATGGTAAAGATAAGGCAGCATGAGGAGAGCTGAGACAGTCCCATCACAGACACTCTATACTGAGTAAACAAAGGCTGCCAAGAGTACTGCACGTGGAGCTGGTGCTTTAAAATTTAAATTAGAAATAAAATATTTCTTCTAAAGCGTGTGCCAGAAAAGAAAAAATAAAAAAAAAAGCAAAACTGTTTAATTTTTAAATAGCCTAAATTATGCCAGATGAAAGCATAATCTTCCCTCATCAAAACAAAAGCAGTAAGAGTGGCACTCCAACACAGACATCTGTCATTCAAACGGATGACACCCTGTAAGCCAACTCAGGCAACTCTGATCTCTAATCAGAAAAGGGAGCAGAGTTGTTGAGGCGCGTGCTTGAGTGATAGATGTTGATAGATGTCTGAGCTGGAGCAGTACTCCACGGCACACAGTGACATTTTGGGTTTAGTGTGACTGCTCTCTTGGAGGAGTTCCTTTTAATTATTTCCATTTGTGGCATAAGAGAAGCCTTAATAGAAGCAGAGCATTTCCTTAGTTTTTCCATGATCCTGTAAGTAGAAGTTGAAGGGAGAAATGTGTTGTTTAATGAGAATGCTGCTTTAAGGCACAGAGAGAGCCCATTTTCTAAGATTCAAGTTTTGATTTCATAATCTGTAAGAAAATCTGTAGTGGTGTTCACATTTCAGTATTCCAGCTACAGTTAGAGCTGCAAGATTTTATAAATAAAAGAATACGTGTGACTTTCTTTAAAAATATTCCTCCCCCCTTACTAGAAGAAATAGCACAGAAATGTTTAACTCAGTAACTTTGCTGCAAATAAGGGAAAATAATAACAATAAGCCTAAAATTTAATTTCTCAGTTGCAGTAATGGCCATCACTGAATATCACATCCATGTCTAAGTGCCCCCTCAGTAATCTTTGTTTCCATGGAAAACATAATTTCTGTTATCAGTTTGTATATTCACACACCACGTAACAATTGTTTTAGTCCATTTCATCCAGGAAGTGATTCTGATGTCTAAAATACAGGAGGCTGTTACTTGCATATATATTGGTATAAATATCTTCTGCTGTTTATATATTTTATGTGATCAAATGTACAGGGTGCATCTGCTAAATATAGCAAGGTATATACAAAAGAAAAAATGGACTTATAATTTGAGAGTGCTGAAATGTCTGCTTTCAGACCAGGCGAGTCCTGTGATAAAAGGCGGGCTGGTTTTTTGAGCCATTGTCATTTGGGTGCTCAACAGTGGTAATGAAACAGACACACGTACTTTCATTAGAGTTGTCGTGCGGGATTATAGGAACGATGTGCAGCAATATCTGATCTCCTGAATTGTAAATGTAATTTGTGTACCTGAGTGTTGGAAAAGCTACAAATTAGTATATCGTGCTGTTTTTTTCAGCAAGTGTGTTTGCCAGCCCCGTATAGATACTGCTAAAAAGATGTTTCTAAGTTAAAAAAAAAAAGTAGGTGAGATAGTTCTGCTGCCTTAGTATGAACTTATGTACTGCTTATCTGAGTTCTGTGACAATTACAGCAGATGCTACAGATGTTGTAGCAGCAGCTCTTAGCAGTTAATTTTAATAACTTTGAGAACAGAAAGGGAAAAAAAATGGGGCTATTTTGATAACATTTAAGGATGAAATGAAGCAAATTAATTCAAAATAGATAGTTAGCCTTTATGTCCTGGATGTCTCCCTTTAAGATATATTTGCAGTAAATAATTAAAATTTACTTTTATTTAAAGCTTTGATACTTGCATATGAAGGATTATTCTGTATCTGTTTCTCTTTGTTTAATGTTGTGAACAGCATGTTAGGAATGCATACTTAGGGGCTTTATTTGCAGTCTCTGAAATTACATTATTTGTGAACGTTTTTGACATACGATGGCATAGAGATTGGCATTTTCTTCCTCTTTCTTCTATGCGATGAAAGAAAAGAATTTCCTTTATATAAAATAGCAGGTAATAAATTCTGTGTGAAAATTTGCCCAGATCTATTAAGCAAGAGAGGGAGAAGCATTTTAGAAAGTCATAGGGAGGAAAACAAAGTTTTCCTAAACTGTCTCTTTCACGTTTCTTGAAAAAATGGTGATCATGCACTGAATTAGTGAAAATGAATGACCAGCAGTTGTGTCTTATGTTTTGTGGATGTGAGCAATATTTCCTGAGTCTTATTTTCATACAGATGAACAGAATTGAATGATTAGATACAAAGAGCTTTATTCTTTCTCATTGGGCACATTCTGCTTGGCCTTCTTGTGACAGATGGGTTTATTTCTGCAGAGACCCACATTGCTCACCCGTACCTTTTCCTAAAATCCACGTCTTTCATCTTACACTTCATTGTTTCAGTATTTCACTGCGTACCACAGGAACAGTGGATATTCATTTTTTGTTTTGGTAGCACGTGGCCCCAAAAAAGGCATCTCTTTAACACCTCAGTCCCTGCCCCAGGTGAAAAGAGGGCAGGGCTATGATGAATTATGCTTATATTTGACTAGGAAAGATATGCATTAAACTTTTGTTTCTCTTGTGGGTGCTCTGGTACCGATTCTGGTACCCTTCTGAGGTGGATGCTGCACTCTGTGTGTGTCAGATAGCAGCACTAGCAAGTTTTTGGCAGTTTGAAGCAGCTCCCACCTGAAGCTACTTGTGGGTGCCTGGGAATGGGGCGCTTAGTCACGGTGCTGCAGTGTTACTTGTGAGGGGTGGCAGGAGCAGCTGGGATCAGCATGGTTGTGATTGCTGCCTGTTTGCCTTCTTTTCTTTCTATTGTGGTGTTTTGGTTGGGTTTTTGTTTGGTTTTATTTCCAGAAGCAATGGCTGCCCTGTAGCTGGAGGGGTTGTAGCTGTAATGCTCACCTTATGGTTTTTTATCAGTGGGCTTTTTCACGTCTTAGAACCTGCGTGCAAAAAACTTCCGACACTGAAATAATGTGAAACAAGAAGAGAGCTAAACACAGTGAGAAGTGCTTTCTGAAGTGCAAAACATTGGGAAATCTCTATATTCTGAGGCATGTAAAAGTAGCATTTTGAAGTCTGGAGTTTGTGCAGGTTTAGAGTTGCCGTTCCAGAAATCCAACTTTTGCCTTGCAGGAAAAGGCAAAGCTGTTTAAGTAGAGATCTTATGTTAGTTATTTATTGTTTAAAATATTTGTGAAGCAGTATCTCCATTTTAGTCATGTTAAGTCATTAAGCAACACATAATTTAAGGTTGGCTGGCCGGAATTCCTGGCACTGTCTGTTTCAGATCAGCTTGTGTTACTCTGCAGTATGCTTCAAAATAGCCACACAGGCCTAATTTCCCAGTTCTCATTAGAAAAAGCTTTTTTTTTTTAGTGTTAAGTAGTAGCGTTGCTTGAATAAATACATTAGGATTTGGTACTAAATTAGGTGTCTTTTTACACAATGTCTTTAAAGAAGTTTAAAATAAGTTATCAGGTATTGGTCTGGAAAATGTCAAGAACAAAACAACGTTTAGCTGTGTTATATCACAACTGTTGAGACTCAAAAGCTGGTGTAGACACTGGGCTTATGTTGTGCATGAAATTCCCTGTACAGGAAAAACCCCAGGAAATTCGTCCAAGCTTGAGAAGCACCTGTGGGCTGAGGTTGGCTTTGATAGGGCTGGCTCAGACCGGTGAATCCTTAATCACAGGTGATTTGTGACATAATTAGATGTTGGCTAAGATAACTCTACTAAATTATAAGAAATTGTGTTTGTTTGTTTTTGTCATATATCAAGCCTGTGGGTTTTCTGCATAAAGCTTACAAACTAAAAATGAAAAACAAAAGTAGTGAGTGCAAGACCCAGCCAATATTAGTGGAGCAGAAATGTTTCCTTCTTAAGGATTGCAGGACAGCAGAAAAATAAAAAAGGAAAAAAGAAATGCTTACTACCTTTCTTTTTGTGCTGGAGAAGATTTGTGAAATTAAATCTTCCATCTTGCTGTGATGGAACCGAAGGCTGTGGTTCTGTACCAGCTTTCTGCTTTTTCACAGTGCTGTGTACGTTTGAAATAGCGAGTGGGCTCTGTGAGTTAAAGGAATCTGCACTCGTTTCTGTAAACAAGGGTTTGTTTTCAAAACCCTGAGCTGACTTTGGTGTTTTGTTTTCCTTCCCAGAACCGTTGCCCCCACTCAGACCTGAGAGTGTCTTCCTATAGAGGCATACACATGCATGCTGCAGCAGAACAGGGCAGAAGTTCTTTCTTCTGCTAGCAGGTCCCTCACATTGCTCTTTAAGGAAACATACGCTATCCAATATCATCTTAAAACAAGAATTGCCTCAATTAGAATTTATGACGCTGGCTTTGTTTCGGTTACAGAGGGTGAAGGCTAAATTGTTTTTCACCTCTGGAGACGATGGCTCGGCGGGTCAGAGCGGGGGTCACTGCCAGGCTGCTCACAGAAGCTCACATCACTGTCATTAGCAGCACGGCTCGCCTGTGGGGGAAGGCCCACGAATAAGGAGCCGTCCTTTCATCGCTGTATTGAAGGATGATTCTCTGTGTTTTGGTGATGCTCTGGTATTTTAAGCACCTACAAGGTGTGTTGGCCCATCAGAAGTGTTTTGATGAG